ACCAACTCACCTATTAGGAACATACAAGGGAGAACCTGATGAGTTGCAAATCTGAGAAATAATTTTAATTACGGCATCATCGTTGGTGTCACTACTCAATGGTGACTTCAGTTTCTGTCTAAGAACTTTTTCGAAATCCCCGACAATACGAGACTCCAGCGCACCCACAAAAGATGTAGCCTTAAATAACCATTCTTGAGGAAAATTGAGAACTTTTTGTTCGACTGTATCCACTAACTTTTTGTATATATCAGTCCTTCTTTGAAGAACAAAGGAAATAGCGGAAAGTTGTTGATAGAAAAAGATCACTGGATTTATTGTATTTTTTTGATTCGTGACCGCAGAAATTATGGTTGAATACCATTCCTCGCAAAGAGCTGTAATCTTTGCTTTAAAGTCAGCTTTGACATTTCTAGACTCCAATGTGAACTTCGACCACTTTGGAAATGACAGTAGTAAATCAAAATTTCTGGACTTCGAAAGTAACACCAACGCTTGCATGATATCTGACTCCGCAGTGAATAATTGAGAAAAAAGATGAAACATCGGCTGCGAATACTCGGATTTCCATGAGATCCTATTGTTGCTTAATAATTTTGAAAATTGTTCGCGAAAAACAGGGGCACATTCAACGCGAAGGTCTTCGGATAGAGATTTAAAATGCTGTTCCAAATTTCGTGGATCATCCGAATCTATATATTGACTGATAAATTTGTCGATGGAACGTTTAATCCGTTCGTCCATCTTTTCTTTTCCAATCATTTCATGCACCAAGAAATCACATGATTCCACGTCAAAAAAAGAAATTTCAATTATTTTCTGAGCGGTTCAATGAATGAACTGATTAGTATCTACACAAAACGCGTAATGCAGAACGATAACTATCGAATGGTTGCTTACCTCTATGGCCGTTTGATAAATTTGTGGTCTGTCAATTCTGTCGAGATACGGTTTTACGTTTCTTTTGAGCGAATTATAAAAAATCGAGACTTGATTTCTTTGATCATAATTATGTTTTTCAATATTAACCAAGAATGTATACGACGGATCGACAACAGGTGCTATAGCAAACATTTTCATCCAATCGAATACATTGCGCTTTGATGAATTGTGTCGAACCAAAGCCGAAGTCGCTAAGGTGAACAGAGTTCTAGCATCACTAGGTATATCTTCCGACCTAATTTTCTCTAGCGCTTGCAATAAATTGATCGAAGGAAAATTTTCTGGTAGTCGGACGCGTTGATGGTGTCCCATTCTCTCTTGAGCGACTTTAATGTAGTATGCCAATAAAAAGCATACAAAGATCCGTTGATAGTCCTCGCGCGAAGAAGCAACAAGGTTACGAATTAAGGCCATATCAACTGCATCTGCAGTCAGACTCGGCTGATATTTTAATAGCGCTTGGAATTCCATAATTTTTTCTTTAATATTTTCCAAAGTCAATGACTCGTATACTACGTCAACAAACTTGTAATCTTTTTTAAGATCTGGACTAAATAGTTTCTTAGCATGGTTGGTTTTCCACACATCATATTGAAAGCCTCCATAGGATAGTGATCGATTGTCATATTCCGAATTACCTTCCATCACAATCGTACGATCACCAAGAACCCTATCACCGAGGATATCAAACACGCCTTGCTCTTTTTTTGGTTGATAGAACGCATATTTGTAATAAATTGGGTGATCTCTAATACGAATTTTAACCGGATCGGAAAACCAATAAGTAGAATTGGTGTCGCTTTGACGCAACTTTACAACTGGGTAGTACCAAGTTCCTAATTCTCTAACGCTTCCAAGAACCAACGGTTGCAAGGACCTGTCAAACCAATTCGGCATGTGAACGTGAAAAGTGATTTCACACGTGTCATTGACACCTAGCGCTTGGCTTGCATCTTCGTCGTATTCATTATCGATATTGCTTTTATGAATTGGTCCGTCTTCATTTGGCTTGTTCTTATTTTTTGAATTCCTGAAAAACCAATCCATCTTTGCAGGATAAAGTTTTCAACCGTTGTGGCAGACCTGATTTAAATATTAGAATTTTGACCATTCAATCCTTAATTTGATTTGGCTGAAATGCGAACTGCACTGCATTTCCATTATTGATTCAAACATGTTTTTTTGTAATTGTTTCCCAAGATATCAACTCAACTTTCTGTGATTGTTTCCTAAAATATAATGGATCGACTTTTTCTTTAAAATCACGATCCCTTGATTACTTCGATGTTTTCTTGATAACTTTAATAATGATATGTTCAAAGTGTGAAATTTCAAAACTTTCCAGGGAATTTCCGGAGAGCACCATTGGTTCAAAATGCGCACACATTGCGACCTGGTGTCTTGAGGTATGTGTTTGAGCAACTGTCAATTTACGATTATGCATTGAAAATTTTTTTGCCCTAGTGTCTCGTGGAATACCTAAGAAAAGAGGAACAAAATAAATGTCCTGAATGTGGAGTTGAATTGGCGGAACAAGAAATCCACAATCATTATTTATATTGGGACAAAGCAAGCTTCAAAATTGACATCGAAAACGTCACTCAAACGTACGCTGAACTTTCTGGTCAAAACGACATAAACTCCGAGGATTTTTATGTGGTCTTGTTGAATGGCAAAAAGATTACGTTGAAAATTCGTGACATTACTACTGTCAAAGATTTAAAATATGCTTTGAGAGCTGAAATCTCAGTCGATATTACAAAACAGAAATTAATTTACAAGGATGTGGAACTTAATGTGCATTATTTATTCACACTATTTTTAATTTTCCTATTTCCATTATTTTCCATTACTTTAACTTACGCTTTTCAACATAGGACCTTCGAGATGATGGAATCAACAATAGCACACTCGAGGATTATGAAATTCGTGCCAATAGTCATGTTCAACTCATTGTCGTGCTCTACTCTATCACGAAAGATCAAGCTTTAACTAACCTGGCTTTTGATTTGTACTGGGGTTTTCCCGACTCAGGACAAGACTTTCTTGACGGTACTTGCTTGATATATGCAGGAGATAGATTGTGGAAAAAATATGATTATTTATCTACCTTTTATCCGCCCATACCATATATCAAACATTCGGGAGACGTCATAGATGAATATCAAGGTTTGTGTACAGAATGATATTCACAGGACTTGCGCGGTAATTCTTATATTATTATTATACACAGCAACAGGACATCATAAGATAACTGCGAGGCTCAATGAACTTCCCGATAATGTTGGTCAACTTTACTTGATCTTGAGTTCATGGCGATCCCCGACGATCGGTCACTTTCGTAATCCAAGCTTCAAACTGTATGATGAAGGGGATCCGGAGAAACAATTATTGGATTATACTATAAATCGAGCAGCGAACTCGCAGGCTGTTATAATGTGTCTTATCAACAGAACGAAAGGCGGTAAGTTTTAAATCTGAATATTATTGTGTGTGACTTTAAAGTACTGTATCTCAAGTGCATAATCCCATCCCGACTGCTAGGTATGTGGAGTGTGATTGAAGTGGGTGAGATGTCGATCGGAAACGCGAAAAACTACGATCCAATAGAGAAAAATATCAGGAGATTACAATGGTTTAATAGGATTCTGTGAGATTGTACAGGCGAAGTGACATACAGTATAACAATTTATACGAATGAATAAATATACTATACATCAGTTTATGGAAAAATAGTAACCATCAATTATGGGATTATCAAAGTATTATTTATTTTCGCTCGCTCGGAATACCTCGCTTACTATAAGAGATTTTGGTGAGCGCTGGAATTGTTTAAAATTCTTTACTGTGTATTGTTTTTACACCATGTGCTACATATGAAAGTAAACCAAAAAGTATCGTGACATTGATGCTAAAAAAACAAAAACCTGACACGGAAAAATGTCGAATTGCATTTTTTTTTTTAAGGGATGCATGCAGTTGGTTGATAACTCTGTACAGTATTTCCGGATCTGCATAACATGATTGCCTTAAAGTGGTAAAGATGGTCTGACAACGGACAGTGAGAGATAAAAATATTATTATGTATATACAGTTTGTTACAAAAGTTTTTTGAACTAATATTTTTTAACATAATGTAATAAATAAATAATTATTTAATTTATATAAACTTTAAATATATATATTTTTTATAATCCAATGATGAAATCATTCAAAATTTATTAATAGTTAATTACATAATAGTTTTATTATAAAAATATTTTGTTTAAAAAAAACAAAAAAAGTAAAAACTTTTTGATTGGGTTTATATATACATATATAAGATGGTTAGAAATCATAATTGTTTAAAAAAATTTTTTGTTTTTTAATTCTATTAATACTAGTTTGATAAATTTATGCATTAATTAATTTCAATGATAATATTTTATTTTTAATGTTTAATCAATATTTAATTTATAGTTAAATATTTCAAAAAATTTTAATAAAACTATAATTTTTTGAGAGGTTTTTTTATTTTAAATTAAAGTTTTATGATAACTTTATTAATTTAATTATTGAAAAATATATATTTAAAGTTTTTTTAAAAAAACAAATAATTGTTTATTAAATTATATTAAAAAATTTTAATTCAAAAATCTTTAAAATAAATGAAATATATTCTATATATGTTTAAAAGTATATAAAAAAATTAAAATAAATAAAAATTTTATAAAAAAATACAATTTTTTTTTTATAATAATTATAATAATCATATTAATATCATATTTAATAAAATAAAAATTTATAATTTTAATATAATCAATATTTTCAACATATAATAATTTTCTAAAATTTCTTTTTAAAATCTCTTTTACAATACAAATTATTTTGATATAATTATAAAAACTTTTATTTGTTTATATGTAAATTGTTTAATAAAAATTTAAATATTTTAATTATTATTTATTAAAATAATAATTTTCTTTAATTAAAATTTTGTTTTTTTAAAATATATTTATTTATTCAAAGTTTTATTAAATAAATATAAAATTATTTTATTGAAATACTTAAATTATGATATTAATTATTTTTATGAATTTTTATTTAATATATATTTTATTTTTAAATAATTTAAAATTTTATATTTATTATAAATGTAATATTCAAAATTAAAAAAAAAATATAACTATTAAAAAATTTATTAATGTTTTTATTTTTATTTTTATTTTTATATTTCAATTTAACAAAAATTAAAAAAAAATTAATTTATCTTATATATTTAACATATTTTACTTTATTCATATTAAAATTTTCTTTTTAATCTTTATAAATCTTTTGTAAAACACTAATATATCTGTATAATAGTAAATCAAATATCAAATAATGGTTTATTATTATTATTATTAAATAAAAATTAAAAATTATATTTATATATATTAGATAATTATTTTTGAAGATAAACCAAAAAGTTTTTGAATCTAAAATAATAATCTTAAAATTATAATTTGAAATTATAACTTATAATTATAAATTATATAAGGTAAATATGCCTAATTTGATGCAGTATCTAAATTGATGCATCTTTAATACTGTAGAAGTCTAAAGTATAAATACATGTATATCAGATGTGTCACGGTATATGACATAAATTTTTATTACAGTAGTTAGTTATGCAATATGATAGATCTATACTAAGTCTCAATTGAAATGTCCCTGTCGTGAAACATCAATAAAATCGGAACCCCTGATAAATATTTAACATATGTACAGTTTTCTAATATATTTATAATTTAATAAATTAAAGTTTAATATAAATAATATTTTTTTTCACATGTTTTAGTG